ATATGCGAGGGCTTCTCTCACCATCAGCCTGTCATAGGGACATGTGATAAATTCACTTCGGAGACATGTCTGTGCTTCTTCATATGTGAGAATGAGAGTACTTTTTTGTCCAAAGTCATTCCTCTTCCTTCTCCTTACGTCTACAGCTTTCTTTGCTTTTTCCCTGTACTGTCAACCTTGCCACCTTCCTATCGTTCCCCTTCCTAGCAGAGTTGGAAGCAGAGTGTTGACATTGGGTTTTATCCAAATATGTAGTCTACGAGGCTGGAAGGTGGTAATGAAAGCCAAGAAAAACAGCCTGGCTCTGAGTCTAACAACCAGGCTTGTCCTTCTGATGAAACCAAAGGAAAACAGTATTTTCTGTCCTTGTTATTCCTTTCCTCCCATCCTACACCTCTTTCCTCGTTCTGCTTGCATCCTGTCCTTTTCTATATCTGGTGCTTCTGATTCGCAGACTAATTCATTGTCTCCCTCTGTGCTTTATAAAACTCTGTGTGAAAATGTGACAAATATTACATTTTTAATGTGGGAGCCATTTTGTCAGATGCTAACTGTGATAAAGTCACGTTACTGTTATCGTAAAGGGCTATCCAGGCTTTGCTCTATAGTGGGAGTAAATTCAAATTTAAAAAGTCTTCTTTTTTTATAGATGTCAATTTTAATAGTCTAAAAAAATACATTTGTAACATGTGGGTCTGCGATTTGTTACATGGAAGCAAGGCATCTGTGTTGCTGCAACAGTTGAGGAGGTGTCAGTCCCAAGAGGGTAATAATGTAAATGAAGTTGATTAAAGCAGAGATGATGTCACCTGAGTTTCTTCATCTCTCAAACTGGATATTATAAAATACAAAGTCACGTAACTCGTTGTTTGGCAACAGTATGGCACTGAGAGGGACATGGACTATTATCTATTTTAAAAGTGGATGTGGCTGTGTGCGGGTGTGTATGTTGCTTCATGTATCCTTGTGCTGTGTGTGTGTGTGTGTGTGTGCTTGTGTTTGTGTGGGTGGAGGTCAGAACGGAGTGCAGGATAGAGGAACAGATGTGCGCTGTATTGTGGCTGTGTGCGCGGATGGACGGGGACCAGGTGCAGCCTTTGTCTCTCTAGCATTTAAGTCCACTCGCTCGCATTCAGCTGCCTCGTGCCTCCCCTCCCCTCTGTGCACCCTCCTCCTTCCTCCTCTCCTTGGAGGGAAGGCAGAGATGTGTGTGTGTGTGTGTGTGTGTGTGTGTGTGTGTGTGTGTGTGTGTGTTTGTGTGTGTGGGCCGGGCTGCCTTGGCTTAAAGGAAGGGTTTGCAGCAGTCCCTTCTGCCCCCCTTCTCTCACAGGTGACTGTTGGAGGTCCCAGCTGGCCAGCTCTTGGCCGATTAGATCCATATGGTACAGGAGGAGGAGGAGGAGGAGAGGGAACCTGGTTAATTTTGAAATCAATTGCTTTCCTTTTTTCTTTTTTTTTCAAAGTGTTTCACTGGTTGAATACTAAGCCTCTGTCAGTTGTTTAAAGTATGTGTTATCCTTTCACTTCAGGACTTCGTAGACTAGAATTAGGATTGCAGAAATACGGCAGCATTTTGGAAGATATACTTGTGCGCTGTTTAATTAAGAGTTACAAATGTCATTTCGTGTAGTATTTTTTTTTTAGCCATGCTTGGGACAAAATGTAGAAAAGGTTAAAGGAAGCTAAGCACTGAAGTTAGAGGAAAATAGGGTTGTAGTTACTCCGGTTCTCTTGCATCTGTTAGATGTCACTGTCACCACAAAGGTTCTCACTTTGATGAGACTTATAAGTTGCTATATTTAAACTTTTTTTAGTCAGATGAGATGTGAGGCACTGTCGTGCAAAACTAGGGTAATAAGCTTGACTTTCTTTCTCATAGATAGTACGCACAGCTGGGCTAAACCTCCAAAAAACATCCTGTTGATGTCTTCTTGTCTGACTCATGATAAGAAAACTAAATATTTGACAGCATTTCTTGAAAAAAAGAATTCATAATGTTATTTTCATGTGCGTGTGTTTGCGTTAACATGTGTGTGTCTTGACCCTACATACTTGTATCATTGCACATGCCACAAATTTTCTTTGTGCTCACTGATAAATTAGTTCGGTCTGTGTTACATCTTCTCTCACCTCATCTACGGTGACAAGACAGAGAGCAGTGTGGTTGGAGTACACACACCACCGCACAGCGGCACACACACACACATGCTTCACAGCTGCCAGCCTCTCACAGGGAGTTTAGACTTCAGAGTTAAAACATGAGCTTAATAAACCCTTACACTGAACCCATTTATTTATACACCACATCAAGTGTGATTTATTTCTGTGGACTCGTTATAGCTTATCCATCCCGTCTTTATGTAAGGAGGTCGATAAATGTTCTCGTAAGTGTATTTGTCTTTTCATTTGCAATTTCATTAGTTAATGGATTGCTTTTACAGCGGTGGCTCAACAGGAATAGTCACGTTTCTCTATCCCTTTCCTCTCTTTCTGAGCCTCGTTCTGAATCATCACTTGCAGAGGCAGCAATTAAAGTCAGCTGAATGTTTTAATGCAGATGAGCGTCACCTGAAGCTGAACAAACAAGGAACACCTGGCTAGCAACAGCCATCACTGCAGATGCATTTTATTTTCCATCCCTGTGATAACAACTGTTGTAGAAAGCAAACACTTAAGGTCAGGAAACTTTCAAGATTGTAAAATTGTGGATTATCTTATTTGTGCATGAAGACGTGAGACAGAAAAACAGCAGCACAATATGGTGTGAGTTTAACATGTAATCCTTTTTGGTTATATCCACCAGAAATGAGTTGATGGAGTACCCAGTTTTATATTTTAGTAAGCACTGGTAACAGTGCTATCTGCTTTTTTCAAAAGTATTGCCTATTCATTGTGGCATTTCTGTGTAATCCTGTTGATGTGTGGTGAGGAGCTTTGTGTACCTTCCCTTTGTTGCATTAAAGCAAGGATGACAGGTGGCATTTAGACCAGACAAACACCCCACATCCTCCTCTAAGCCAATATTCACCTGAGTTAACATTAGGCCACTTTGTGCACTCTGTGCATATGCGTTTTGTGGCTGCTGTGACAGCTGCCTCCCGAGACAGCCCTGTGACTATACCATGGACTCAGGTGCTCGCAAGCCAGATGAAGTCATCTAGCTATGTGTGCTGTCTAATTGACAAGCAGAGGCAATTCTCTAAGGGTTGTCAGGAGTACACGCGCACACACCTGATGTCTCTTGCTTTGGCTGTTACCTCTGGCATGGCTAACAGCAGACTGTGCCACATCTTAAGATTGCATGAACCCTGCTGCAGCTTTGTTTCTGTTGCATGCTCAAAGGTCATGCAGTAAGGAATATAAATACAATATGTTGCTATGTTTACATTCTGCAGAATTATGCATGCCTGCCAGTTAAAGTCAAACACAAAATGGTGCTTACAAGTATGGCAGTCAGTTTGGATCCAAACTACTGTTCACAACCAGTGGTAAATGGTTCATAATGTGTCAAAGAACTTGGGAATACACTTCAAGCTGAATTCTCCAATCCTGGCTTTTGTGTACGTATGAAGTTGTTTACTTGGTAAGAGTGTTGACACTGAGGCCATATGCCCCGTTGATTCTGTTATTGAGATGTCAGTCTAATTTCCTGGCCATACGGATGGAGTGTGCGGAGCTTTGGAGCCGGTGTGTGTGTGTGCTGCAGGCTGCTTCCTACAGTGCACTGGCAGACCGCGTGTGTGGTGGGTACGGCAGTCCAAATGTCTGCATAGATCCCTCCTTCCTGCCCCCTATGTTCGTGAACAGGTGGAGTGATGGCAGGCAGGCCACGGGGGCTGAGAAAGAATGAAATGGTACGAGGGAGAGAGTTTTAAGAGGACTGCAAAACAGAAGGAAGAACAGTCAAAGCTGTATAATGAGTTGCAGACATGACAGATGAGTTGCACAGGGCAGATTGAGAAAGTGCGAGCATAGGATGCAAAAGAGATTTGTTGCCAAAACTTGAGGAAATTTGCACTTTTGCATTCAGATCCATTTGTTTTTGTAATAATTCTGCATGTTTTCACATTTTTTGCACTCACAACAGTACCTTTTATTCATTCCGTGGGCTTCTTTTCAGTTTTCTTTGAGTTACCTACTGACAGCTTAAACCTTTCGACTTAAGCCTTTATAAACTCGGACCTCGTGGCTGAAGGCCATCCAGAGTTCATAGCTGTGAAAAAGAAATAAAGGGTGCTATTGAGTCCAAAGCCCTAAAACCATGAACCCACATTTAAAAGCTGCTTTCTGCTAACCTATGACCTGTGAGACCATGCTTGTCTATTAATTGTCAATTCTTGAAGCTGTTAGAAAAGTCTGATCCACTCTAAATGGAGACGGGATCCGGCCCTCATGGTTCTCGAAAAGACAAAGACAGCTTCTGATCCACATCTCCCCACCACTACACCCCCCATTACACTTTCTCCATAGCCCTTATCTGGTGGTCTCATTCAACGTCAATAGCATATTGAGAAGTTGCATTTAACATTCAAAAGCTTTGTCGATCTTGTTAGTAAAGCGTGAAATAGCCCGTCCCTTTTTCTCTGTCTCTCCTATTTCTTGGGGAGCTCAATGAGGAGGCATTCTACTCCCACACAATGGCCTTCTTCAGAATTTCTTCTGTTATTGATCTGAATGGGTGAGAGTGAGGGGCTAAACTTCAGACATCTGGCTCTTTGATGGGGGCAGGGTGGTTGGTGCCCTGGCAGTGTGTGTTGTATCATGCAAAGTGAGTTGAGGAGAGGGGGCTGGGCATTGTTGTTGTCTTTTGTAACAATAGGCATGACGCTTTTGAATTGATTTAAACAACTGAGCTAATGGGGGGTAAAGTTAAAGTGGTGCTTCTTTTTTTAATTTTTGTGGATGTCATAGCAAGTTACAGTTATTTAACTTTGGTTCACTCATATAGACCTGCTGGTTTCTGATGCCCTCACCTCACCTACCTTCTTTCCTCTTTGCAGACAGTAGAGAGAAGAAGAGCCCTGCCATGCCCGGTTCTCCTGTGGATGCTAAGACTCATTCCAGATCAGCCCCCAGCAGCAGCGCCAGCTCCACTATGCCACCCCTACCTTCTGTCAACCCCAGTGGCCCACGACCGGCCTCTTTTTCCACCACAGCATGTAAGAGTAATAATTAAATCTATACTTAAAGAATTTCTCTCATTCTTCCAGCTTGTCTTTTTGTTTCCTCTTCAGTCTTTGTTCCTTTTCACAAACCAAAGTTGTAGACAAGCTGGAGTTGTAACCACACTCAGCAGGGTTTATTTTGATTTCTCTTCTCTTCATGTTGGTTTTCCGTCCTTCCCCAGTGACCAATGGGAATCATCATTCCCCACCAACACTGAATGCAGTGCCATCTCCACCCCAGCGTTACAGCAATGGACCGTCCTCTTCCTCTTCCTCATCGCTGGCTAACCAGCAGCTGCCAGCCACCTGTGGGGCACGCCAGCTGAGCAAGCTGAAACGTTTCTTGACCACACTGCAGCAGTTTGGCAACGACATTTCTCCTGAGATTGGAGACAGCGTCCGAAGCCTAGTTCTGGCCCTTGTGGTAAATTCTATGATGGCATACTGAAGAGAAAAACAAGTCAACATTTTATAGAAATGCATTTAAATTAAACCTTCCCTTTTCTTATCTTTTAGAATTCAACAGTTACCATTGAGGAGTTTCACTCACGGCTTCAGGAGGCTACCAACTTCCCCTTACGACCCTTTGTTATTCCTTTTCTCAAGGTAAACATGCCTCCACCCCCTCCTTTTCCCATCTTTCTGTATTTGCTTTGTGCAGTTCTGCATGGAATTACTTCCCTTTTCTTTTCACAGCACTAGTGTTCTTCCTCCGTTGAGTTAAATGGTTTTACTCCTTGTGGTGTAAAGTTGCCCATCAGATAGTTGCCTAAGTGTAGTTTTGTTAATTGAATTGGCCATTTCAGGTTCAAAGTAACCGTCAAGATTTACGTGTTGACTTGACAAGCAACAGATGACTGTGTGTTAACAGCCTCTTGAGCCCCTCTGTAACCAGGGAAGTCTGCAAGTGTATACTTTTAGTAGCTCCTCGCAGTAAAGCATCCCATAAATCTTGTATAACTGGACTTCAAGCTATAAAAAGCGGCTTTTTTTTTTACACTTACTTCTTGGTTATCTCTGGAGCCCTTCCGTCTGTCTAAATCCTTGATTATAGTCTCTTGTGGACAGCTATTCATTCCTTTTATACTTCTTTGAAGTCCGCTGCCTGGGGAGCATACATATTTCGTGCATTGTGATGTAAATTTTACACGGACGAGTCCGCACAGTCACGAAAAACAGGCAGGCATTTGGACATCTGCATGCACCATCGCACTCAATAGGTGATGATAAAAATGTACATTTCTCAGACGTTTGCGGACACTATCTTACTTGCGAATGGGGAAAAAAGTTAAACAAGACTTTTGGTGGCTGAGACAAGAATGCTCTGTTTTTGTTGTTCTACTGATTTATTGCAATGATGTGGCGTTCTCACTATTTAATAGCAACTGCTGGAGTCTCTCTTAAGAGAGCAGTTGGGACAAGATCTATAGAAAATGTAGAAAAGACAGAGAAGTGGATGAGAAGGAGAGAGGGAAAAGTGGGAACTCGGAAGTGTGAAACATGCCTATAAAGTGTTCCCTTCCTTTTTTATGGTCTCCACTGCGCCATATGGAGCCGTTGTCCCGTTAAAAGAGCATTCAGCTGCCAAGGCGCCGCCAATCTAGCATCCGCCCTGCTGAAGCCCAGAGAACCCGATGCTCAACTGACACATAGCACATGTGTCCGCTAGCTGGGGCCCCAGGGAAAGAAGGGATGCAGAGGAGCATGGGAACCAGGAAAAAAAGGAGAGCCCAGGGATATTATAGAGAGGCGATCGTAAAGCAGAAGTGCCTGCGTCTATAGGGGAACTACAAGCGATACTGTAAGGATCAGCTCACTGAGGCATAGAGGAATGTTTGTTTCAATGGACAAAAAGATCTAGGTCTTTGCAGAGTAGTAAAGTGATGTTTAACTAATACTATATGTAGTTTCAAATACTAAATAATAATAAGAGGTCAGTCACAAAATGAAAACGGCTGGTTATTTAGTTGGTTGCTCAAGAAGAGAGCGAGGAGGGAGCAAGGAAGTGGTGTAATTGCAAACACACTGAAGTCTGTTCCTAATTAGGGAAACGCAGGGAACAAAAGAGAGATGGAAAGATTGGATGGAGACAGTCCCAGATAAATACAAAAAAAAACTGAGGGGATGAGGAATTAGGGAGAAGTCTGTGTATCATTTGTTTTGAAATGTTTCTAAATTTCTAAGCCTCTGTATCATCACGCATACCTTTGCTGTGACCAACACATTATGCTCTGCACACATGCTGCTTGCAAGAGGTTCATAACCAACATCAGTTGCAGCTTAGAAAACTCTGATTTTCATTTGAATTAGGAAAGCCGCAGCCTCCTTGGAGGCAGCCGGAGAACAGCACCCAGACACAGATCTAGCCTTACAGCCAGACCCCAAGGAGTCACTGCCCCCCTTAAAACCAATTTTCTTCCAGCCAGGCGTCTTCCCCAGGAGGCAGATCTGCACTGTATCTGTTGGCTCTGTTGCAGCATGAACGTAGTCTGTCTAGGATAGTTCTGGTGTGTTTGGTCCAGATCTCCCCTCCTGTTTGTCACTATCAGGTTTTCTGGTGTTTCTCTCTTTTTGTCTGCGTTCGTCTTTGAATGAGTAAAATCAATGCTCATTGATATAGGAGCGAGTAGTGGCCAAAGGCTACTTATACATGGGTTCATCTGTGCTCTATGAAAATAACTTTACCTGCAAATCATAATCAAACTTAACAAGTATAATTTCTTTCTTGTCAGGCAAACCTCCCTTTGCTGCAGAGGGAGTTGCTCCACTGTGCACGGGCAGCCAAGCAGACCCCAGCTCAGTACTTGTCCCAGCATGAGCACCTCCTGCTAAGCACCACTCTGGCATCTTCTCCAGACTCCTCTGAGCTCCTGATGGAGCCTCCAGAGCCTGGAACCAAGAGACACAGCCCAAGCAGGTTAGATAAATGCATAAAGAAGAGCTATAATACATAGAGTATATAGGTAAACAGTGAGAGAGCTACATTAAATCACTCCTGTCTCCCCCTCAGGGCTAAAGAGAACGGTTTCCGTGAACGCCCACCTGTAGCTATGGAGCCTGCCGCAAAGCGGATTTGCACCATCAGCCCAGCTCCCCGACACAGCCCTGCTCACCCATTGCCACTGACCGCCCAGCTTCACCCGACCCCTCCACCCTTGCAGCATTACGCCCTGGATGACATCGCAGCACCTCACATCCTGCACCGTGAGCACAGCCATCGTGTTTTGGAGATCCGCGAACTCAAAGACAGGCCACGACTTCCTGGTATGTGATGCAAACTCAGTGTAAGGACATTCCTGATGAACTTCATTTTTGAAGTTGTTTCCAGTCTACAATGTGGGTGATAAGGTGATGCATATTCAGTCTCAGTTGTAGCCTTTGTGGCAGCAGTGAATAAGTGTTGTAGGCATCCTTGTGAACCAAATATACAAGTGTGTGGTGTCAAACTTGTTTGCACATTTCTGTAGAACATCCGTACAACAGAACTTTATTGGCTCTTTACAGTAGTTTGAATGCAAGTAGCTGCTAACCATATTTAGAAATGAACATACTTGCATGAAGACAGATGCACACAAATATCATATTCTATATGTGATAATGGGTGGTCTGTGTGTTTGTGTAGGCAAGACCCATATATCTCAGGAGTCCACGTATGTATATAAACAGAGCCATACTGTCCAGGCAGGGAGAGCTGGATGTACTCTGGTGTATATCTAGCCTTCATTTGGGGCTTGTCAGCACTCAGTGGAAACATCGGTAGCACACATACACACATACAGACACACACCTTGATATGTTCCTGGTAGAGGTGCTGTGTTTATGAGTCCTTAGTCCCCTGTCTGACAGCCTCCCGACCGCCTGCCGCCACTTAACTCATAGGCACACACACTCACGCATAAACACATCAGTCCACACACTGGTGGCTTTGAACTGATGGACACTGATGAGAACCAGAAGTAGCGAAGATGTTGAGAAGGCAGTGTGCATGAGGGTATCATTGCTCTCCTAAACAACCCTTGTGTGCTGGGTCTTGTTGGCTCTTTCTTACCAAATTTTTAAGAGATTGTGGTTTGCATCTTTGTAGACAGCGTGGGTCTACTTGCATGAACATGTGGATGTTTTTTAGCCTCTGTGTGAGTACAAACTTGTGTGCAAACGCTGATTACTGTTAAATGTATTTGGATATTGCTGATGTCACAGTGTAATGACTGGATTTGAATCAGATTAGCTTTGTTTTTGTGTGTGTGTGCGTGTAGCCGTAATAGTCTACAATGAGTGTCAGAACGGCTGGTTGTGTTTAGAAGTGGAGCCACTCCACTCAGCCTGAGTGTCTCCCTACTGGAATGCTGTGAGCTCCAGGAGGGGAGGTGCTAAGGGAGACGTTTTGGGTGTATGTGAGTGTGTGGTTGACAGCTGACTTCCAGATGTGTGCAAGCTCTGGAGCTCTGGGCGCTGGGAGTCTGTTTTATATCACAGGGGTCTCTTTTTCACTTTCACTCAATCTTTGTTTCTCACTGTCCCTTTATCTTCTTGCCTCTGCATGTTCACTTGCCCTCAATCAAGACATGAACAAAAATAAAATAAATAAAACTCCTTTTGTCATCCTTAATTGTTGTGTTCGAGTTTTAGCTAATAGCCTCGATTTAGTACTTTTACATTTGTTTCGTTTCTCATGGTGGGAAATGATAAAATTGTCTTTAAGTTTAATGTAAATATGTTTTTTGTCATTTTAACAGAAGCATGCGTAGGTGTTTTTGACTCACTGTCACTTGTGGCTTCTCTTGCATTAAGAAGAATGTTAATCATGATGGCCTGTGGTTTGTCTTGTGTGTGATTCAATCAGGCACTAATGGGGGCTACCGTGAGGAGCCAGTGGACCACAGACTGACAGACAGAGAGTGGGCTGATGAATGGAGGCATCTGGACCATGTAAGTCTGCGGACAGGCACCACTGGTGCTGTTGACTTTTGATGCAGAAAGAATGTGATTTGTTTTACTGGGGTTTACCACTAAAGCAATCTATCACAGCTTAAAAGCACACATAATCGGCAGGCCCGAACTTTCTGATAAGACATCATTGGTTTATAAGCTGCAATTAATTTATTTGGTATGGGTTCAAACATGTTATTGGGGGTTCATTATTAAACTTATTATTATTATTATTATTATTATAAGCTGTTAAGGGGAACTTTTCATGATGTAGGAAATGCTCCCTCAGCAAGACACTTTTCCATAGGTACCTATTGAAATAATAGACTGTATGATTGTGTGATTTTTTTTGGCAAAAAAGGCTTGTAGGTAATTTGAAGTAAAATATAAATATAAAGTCAAGAAAGGGTTATGCAATAGGTCTGTGAATGTGGACGTTAATGAGTTTCTTAATGGATTGTGATTAAGACATCCTGAACTACCTTTCCAGGAGATAAATGGTCAGGTTATTGAAAAGGTTACAAGAAGAAGAAACATAGCAAAGACGCAAAAGTTTGCTGGGAAATTCCAATTATTAACATAAGTCAATGTGTTTTAGGCATTAACACAAGGTATTTATGTTTAACTGCTTACTGGGATGAAATTCTATCAAGTCAAGGAGATGGTTTGTGAAACTGGTTCTTCATTTGATGATATAAGTACTTTTTGAAACTTCAGACATAGCTATTAAATAGTTGCTTAATGATGTAAGATTTAAATAATTCCTCAAGTAGCTAAAAGCGATCTCGATTAATAAAATTTTGTTTGTCGTCATCAAGGTGTTGAACTGTATTGTGGACATGGTAGAAAAGACACGGCGGTCAGTGAGCGTTCTCAGACGATGCCAGGAGTCAGATCGTGAGGAGCTTAACTACTGGAGACGACGTTCGAGCGAGCAGGAAGACCCGCGCAAAGGAGGACCGGCATCTGCTCCATTCTCCAAGACGCACAGCCCTCACTCTTCTGAGTCAGGTGGGCACCGCTGTTTTTTGGGGTTTCGCTTTTGTCAGGGACCAATAACTTTTCATTGTTTACGCTTGCTGCTTTACTACAGTAAATGTTTCATGATTTTCAGAAAGAAGCCAAATTTATATAATGCTTGATGTTGCACATGCTCTAAACTTCATATTTAACCTGCTAGTAACATGTAACATGCAGAAGCCCAGTTTTTTGGGGGGTTAATTAATTATCCCTTAACATCTACTATGTTTTGGGTGTTGGAAACTGCTTTAAGGATTAACAGTTCAATTCGGTTTAAAAGACTGATGTTTCCATTTCCTTTTAAAAGTGTTATTTATTGTGAGATCAGTTCATTAAATGAACTTTAGAATGGGTAAGCAAATGTCTTTTCTAAAGAAATATAACCATGGGTTGTTCACTCTGGGATAATGATGCTAGATAAACTACAAGCATTGTGAATAATAGCACATAATGATCTGGACATTCTGAGATTAATTTAGGCGATGCAAATGTCCAGTCATTTCTGTTTCATAGTCATTACATCATCTAGTGGTCATTAATAGAACTGCGCCGAAGTCACACGTCAGCGTGTTAGTGAGTCCATCCACAGTTAGTCCCTCAGTCTGCTGTGTACTGGCAGTGTTCTTTCTGCGTGCCAGCCTTGCCATCCCCCTGCTGCTCCATAGTCACAGACAGGTGCCAGGATTGGCCTCCGCCATATCGGCCACAGAAGGGCCGTCCTGCCGTCCTGCAGGCACAGAGACCCAGAGCTAGCTGACTCGCCAGAGCACCATCTGGGCTCCCAGTCGGAAAGCCTGCCTGCTTGCCTAGGCTTGGTCTGCTATAGTGGGGGTGTATAAAGGCTTGGTGAAAGAGAAGGGATGTAAATGAAGGCAAAAAGAGAAAGAGGTGGCGAGATCAGCTGTGAGTGATGGAGAAAGAAGCGGAAAAAGGAGATAAGAAAGGCAACAGTATTAGAGAGGCAGAGCCCAGTAGTGAGTTAGGAATGAATTACGATTCAGGGAGACAGATTTGAGGGAAGAAACAGAGTATTGACACAGCTTGATGGTCTGCATTTCTCTCCAAGCCAAACACATTCCTTTCTGAAGCTGTCAGATCGCAGATCCGTCCAGGACTCTGATAACTAACAATAACATTGGTTGTGTGGCCTAGATATTCGGAATTGTTTGCACCAGTGACAGAATAAATGTCAAGATGACAAAGAAACTATTACTGTCTGTCTATCAGGCCTTTTCTTTTATATGCCCCCATCACCTTCAAGGAGTGTCAGCCCCAGTATAAATAAATGAAAATAAATAAATACATGAAGTTTCAAAGCCCCGGCAGGTGCTAATTGCTTCCGTTTTTGCCTCCCCTGCAGACTCTCAGCGTGATTTTGCTCCACGGCCAGGCTCAGCATATGTTACAGATGAAATCTGGAGAAAAGCTGGTAAGAACATGAAACAAAATTAGTCTAAAGACTCAACCAGTTGTTGCATTTACAAAGTAATATTTTGACACACTTAGCAGATTGCTGTGTGCTTTACTTATGCAAGTGTGCACAGTAAAAACAAGGTGAGCCCCACCTAAATCTCTTGTCTTCTCTATAGAAGAAGCGGTGAATGAAGTTAAGCGTCAGGCCATGGAAGAGGTTCAGAAAGCTGTAGCAGAGGCGGAGCAGAAAGCATTTGAGATGATTGCTGCTGAGAGGGCCAAGATGGAAAAGACTGTGGCTGAGGCCAAGCGGAAGGCTCAAGAAGATGCCATCATGGTCATTAATGAACAAGAGGACTCCAGTGAGGTGAGCAAGAACTGCAGAGAAACTACAGCAACAAGATGTGTGTGTGTGTGTGTGTGTATATATGTGTGTGTACATATATGTGTGTTTTATATGTATGTATGTATGTATGCATGCATGCATGCATGCATGCACTTAAACTTCCAAGTATGCATAATTTAGAGTTACAGTCTTTTGGGCATTTTTAATAGCAATTACAGATTAATAGTGTAATAAAGCAATAACAGTGGTGCAAATGACTAGATTAAAGTGGAAAAAGGCACTGTGTTTATCGTGATGATTCCACACATAGATTTTTCTGAACATGTTGAAGGGCCTCACATGATTTAGTAAAGAGTCCATATGGGACTCGGTGGGAGGGCAGAAAAATTACTCAAAATGAATGCTTTAGTTGCTGAATCTGCTGAGACAGCTGTATGCATACAAGTTCACAATGATTACTCCAATTCATTGCTGCGTTTGCTTCTGCTGCCCCCAAATGGTCCAACAAATTACTGTAGTTTTGTTTTGTAAGGGGTTTATTTAAAAATGAAAGAATACAAATGCAGTTTGTACAAGTGAGAGATAGAAATGAACTATATCTTTCCTCTCTCATTAGTGTTGCTGGAACTGTGGTCGCAAAGCTAGCGAGACGTGCAGCGGCTGCAACGCCGCTCGCTACTGTGGGTCTTTCTGCCAGCACAAAGACTGGGAGAGGCATCACCTCATCTGCAGCCCAGGACTTCAGGCTCAACCCAAACCGGTACCTGCAAGCAGAGTGGCTGCCGTGGCTACAGCAGCACCGGCCGCCACCGTCGTGTCTCCTGTTGGTCTGGCTGGGGTCAAAGTTCCTGACAGTGTGCCTTCAGTCTGCAGTCCAGGTGGGGAGAAGGCTTCAGTCGCTTCGCGTTCATCCACTCCCTCCACCCCTGCCTCGGCCCCTGAGACGAACGGACACTAGGAGGCAAAGGACCTTGGCGGTGCATGTGTCACCTACCCTCTTCAAAAACCGGGAAGAACTGAAACAGCAGCATGAGGGAACTATTTGTGGGTTAAGTTAGGATAACAGATTTTTCAACATACTCTTTGGCAGATAAAAAAGGACAGATTATGGATGACTGTTTGAGTGATATGTCAACTGGGACTTTGGCTTTGGCAAAGAACAGAAGGACTCCTCTTGAATGCATTAATTGGATGAACAGATCTCCCTAGCAGATGGAAACGTGTTTCTCATCGTCCAAAAACCAAAATCTTGGATGTGTGAGGGGTGGAAAAAAACTGATTGATCTCCGTTTGTTCTCTGGTGGCAGCGTGGAAGTTATGAAAGGGAGGCATACGAGAACAAACACAGGAGATTAAAGAACAATGAGGTATAAAGATATTTCCCCCCATGTACCAATATCCTCACTTTGATGTGTATAAATCTAAGCTTGGGAGGAGGTGGTGGTAATTGTAAACAGTGTAATAGTACCAGCGCTAAAACATCTGTCTTCGTCCTGTAGGAAAAATCTGACCGTAGACCACGGAAGAGCCGTCTCCGCAGCTCCGGTGTATACATAAATATTTGCTCGCCAATCTTGTCAGATTATCATATGTGTGAATGTGTGTCAAAGAGTCGTGCTGTCGGTGAATATTGTAAAGCATATGATTATTTTTGTCAAAGCAATACTGAAATATTGTTCAGGTATTTCAAGACCTTTGCATCACCAAAGTCGCTAAAGAGAAAGTTATTGTAATTGCTTGTAACTGTGTTTGTGAAAAAGAGATAATACTACACTAACGCCCACACGTCATATTTACTTTAAAAAAAAAAAGTTAAACTCTGGTCATTACTTCTTTTTTTTTTTTGCCATTTCCAATCATTAGAAGGAACACAGGCAAAGTGATGGTGGTGGATCCAGTAAGCACAGAAACATTCAGTTTGGGCTTTTCTCTGGCTGCAATTTCACTTTGGCACTTGTTCATATCACCAGCTGTGTATGGCAGGTCAGATGTTGCTCAGAACACCTCCACCACTGTAATATTTGCATCAGGGGACAGGAGTGGTATGCTTTCCAGCACCGTTTCCAACAAATACAGGTATTAAGCTATGAAAACTAAATCCGTTTCGCTTCAGCTGAAATTTTCACTGATGCTGACAACGCCGTGGTGAAGGTGCAGAGCGCTGACTCTGTCCCACAGAGAATCTCAGGAGCTTAACTGTATTTGTATGTACAGACCGTTCTTGTTCTTTTGTAACAATGAAACCTTGTATAACTTGACGGTTAGGTGAAAGTCAGATGTTTAGTGTGGAAATTTGATTTATGGTACTCTGCTGTTACAACTGAAACTTGCTTGTTTCCATGTGTTGTAAGATGACTTTGTAAAGAATATTATGAGAGAATGCCTTTATTTTGTGAGCCACAATTTTTCCTCTTCATTCTTTGAACATGTTTTTTTTGTTATGAGACATAACTTCATATGGAAATCATATCTTGACATGAAGTATGAAATAAAGAAGTAGAGTTACTTCAAAGCGTTTCCCTGATGTTTGTGCTCATTTTTAGAAATATGCAAAAAAAAAAAGGTCTTCCTGGTAATATGCGATAAAGTAAAATGTGTCTACAATAGAGGTGTCATATATACTCTGACACTGAATTAAGAAATTCTCCTTTTTTCACATAATCACAATCAGCTGCAAATGTTAATGTACGATATTAGAGAGTAGTAGTGAATAAAACGGCTCCTATGTATAAAATATGACTACATAAGTTATTTGGTCATGATATAAGGTATTTTTCTACAATTAGTCAAATAATAGATAATAATAGCAGTAATGAAAGTGCTAAACTGGAGTTCTGAGGTTCTTTCAAAAAGCTGCATGGCAGTGAATTTTATATCCTCTTTGTCTCTTTATTGAATCATTCAGTGAGTCCAGTTTAAAAATGCAAGACACATCTTTGAAGTCTGAAGGTACAAAGTAATGAAGTAAGCTCTTGGTGAGAACGGACTACTCTAAAGTGGGTTGAGTTAAAGTTCTGCCATGTATTATGTATAATGTTTTCCACCTTTGAATTCGATTAATATTCTAGTGATTTTACTGAAGAACAAATGTAGAAAAAAAAAAAGTGATCACGGGAGATTGTGATTCAACGATTTTGTCATTGTCACGTTTAAAGAAATGCAACTCTAAAAAAAAAAGGAAAACTGAGATTGATGCAATAACACACATTACCACAAGGTGGCAGTGTAATCCCTATGTTGATAGTGAAGCCTCTTGATTTCGGTTTAGAAGATTCGGTACGTGGATGAGTTCATTGCAGAATTGTAGTTGTTACAAAAGTATCAAAAAAACTACTAAAAACATGCAAAATATTGTTCGATATATTGCATATTACTAGGAAATAATATTTAAGGCCTAGAAGACAAAATGTCAGTTGGTCACTGCTCTCTCATCTTGTAACTAAACTCACTATTTGCAAAGCAGCTAATAAGCAGAGTAGCTGCAAGGAACACTGAAAAGTAAACTAAAAAAAGTATACTTTTACATTATATAAATCATATATTTCAAATCTAAAGCAATCGCTTGACTGATGCTATGATCCTTATTGTCAAAGTAGCTGCAAGAACTAAATTATAGGCACATGTTACGAACTTGTATGTCCATGTGTTTGTTTGTGCAGGTTTTGTGTTTTTTCTATGTTAATTTAGCTGTGCCAGGGCCCTGTTCCGATTGGTGCGTGGATATACTGCCCCGGCGTGATTGGATCCAGCTGGAGGACCCGCCCATTAAAAGGAGGCTGGAGTGCTACAGCGGGAGAGGTCCTCGCGTTTCTCCTCATCACCTGTGGTAGCCGCTGGCTGCAGTATACGCTTGAAAGTTGTGGAAGTGGAGTGGGTAGGGGTGAGCTGCCGTTTCTTTTGATCACCCGTTTTCTCCTGTTTTGAGTTAGTTAAGGAGGTCAGACTCTGTCTTTATTTTTGACTTTGGTCAGGGGTGCGGGATTTGTGTAGGTTTGTTTTGTTTATTGTTTTGGCCTTGGCTCACCCTGAAGTGTTGACACTCCCGTTTTGGTTCTCTTTATTCACATTGTAAATAAATCACCTCACATCTAACGGATTTGTTTCGTGTGACTGCTTGGGTCTTGGGGGGGAAGCGAGTGCCTCGCTCATGTTATGGCCTGGCCCTAGACGGGTCGTAACACACAATATAGACAGTCTTCTTAACTGCTGACCTTCCACTAAGCAGGGCTTTCTGTTCGTTTGCCTTGTCCTACTGACTTTAAGTATTAGTAGTAATAGTATGATTATAAAGAGATTTTGTTGCTCATTATTTGAACGGAAAATTAAACATTACCTCATCTCTACATGTAACAGAATGCTCAGTATATTAATTCCCAGTATAACTGGGAATCAATAAAGACGTTTATGTGTACTGTGTAGGAGCACTCCCTATTTAGACATGAAACTGTTTCCGCTGCTTCTGTAAATACTATTCTTTTGTTCTGTTTTGCATATCCAATGTTATTTTTGGACTAATTTTCCATGAGTTTCTAGCTCTTGCACTGCAAGTATGCTAGAAGAAAAAGTAGAATCAGCAAGCAATCACAGTAGTGATAGTGTCAGACTGTTTGTGTACATGTGCCAGTCTTTGTTGTGGATAGAGGGGCATCTCTGTGTGTGGTTAGCTTGCTTCTTGGCTCTCTCACCACACTGTTGTAGTGCTTGTGGGGAGATACTGGCTTAATTATGTGTCTGGTTTCTGTCCCAACTTTTTGCCTGAGGCATATTAATAGAAGTCACTTAGGATTCATCATCTTTTTCAGAACTTTCCTTGGAGACAACTCACATTTGCTCCATCATAGTCTGTCTGCCCTTTGATAAAATTTGCTAATGGTTTTTGACAGCACGCTATTATCAACACTTAGTATTGTTCAAGGTCAGCAGTGCTTTACAGTAATCTACTCGGAAACCCGTTTTTGTACTTTGCTAGTGCTGTGCTTGACCTGCATCAGCCGCTGCATGAAATTTAGCTTCATATCCTAATCTATGTAAATCTAACTGCATGGGCTAATAAATTCCACTCATAGCAGAATCCAAGTGAGTATGAGTCTTTAAGTCAACGAGGACAAGTGACTCAGTATTTCAGAGGCAAGATGCCCTCTGAACACGTTACCTCCCACACAATCAAGTCTCCAGCTCGAAAGAAATGGAGATACTGAGGCATGAAATGGGACAACAGCTGCTGCATTTTCAACTTTGGCCCCAAGCCTAGGTATTTCTGAGCAGGTTACAGCTCAAGACGGCAGACATACACAACAAATGTACAATGATTGATGTATAAATCTCTGAAGACAATATTTTTATTTTTATGTAGAGCTTTTGTTTGTCTGTTTATTTTTATTTATTTATTTAATTTTTATTTATTTATTTAATTATTTTGGGGGCGGGGGGGTGGGGGGTCCTTGTTAGAGATCAGGTTTCTAAGAGAAGAAACATTGGCAGACAATATTTACAATTTCTGACAGTCGTACCTTTATTATTTTGTGTTGATTAAAAGTTTAAACTTTTCTGCTATCCACCATAAACCAGAAGGGAAAAATACAGAGAGGTGGCACAGGATTTGACTTTAGGTGCCTTTTGAGTGTTGCCTTCAGCAAAAGAACGTAACATGGGTGGGGAGGGGGGACTGAAAAGAGAACAATGAAACGGGACAACAGATGTCGTTTGGTCACCTTAGCCCTAGCCCTTGGCTTTTTTGAAGTGATGAGCTGTGTTTGCACACATCAGAGCCAAGGGCACCTGCCTGAAAGAGCATAAAAAGACCCTTTTTTCTATGCTGCTCTGAAGGAGATGAGCACAGAGAGGCGGCGGCAGCATTCTTCGGATTCAAAATAACAGTACAAGGTTTTAAATTTCACTTTGGCTATTCATTGGTGTCCCTTTCAACACAAAGAGAAACATGTTTCACAACCTGGAATTTAATTAAAGGAAACTAGTACTTTAGTAAAGAAATGATAGAGTACATAAATATGTTAGAGCTCACTGTCCATCTTTTTGTTTATTAAAACCATTGCAGTGAGTAATATTTCAAACCAGAAATATATATAAACTAAAACCTATTAAAATGAAAGAAGCACTCCCGAGCTCATGTTATTTCTGTATCATGTAGTGTGACTGCAAGGAGAAATCCCCTGATGCTCAAGGGTTGTATTCTGAATGAATAACACATACCCCT